GATATGACAAAATAAACAATTTATAAATTATCAAGGGCTCATGAGGGAGGGGGCAGCAGGGAGGGAGGGGGATAAAAATGAGGACCTGATGCCAGGGGCTTAAGTGGAGAGCAAATGTTTTGAGAATGAGGAGGGCAATGAATGTAGCAATGTGCTTTACACAATTGATGTATATATGGATTGTCATAAGAGTCGTATGAGCCCCTAATAAAACTATTTTTTTTAAAAATCAAATGAGGGGGAAGGAGGGGGCCAATGAGGAGCTGATAACAAGGGCTTAAATGGAAACTAAATTTGGATGAAATAGTGATGGCAACATATGTAAAAATATGCTTGATACAATTGTAAGCGCCCCCAATAAAATGATTGTTTAAAAAAAATGTTGAGGGTCAGCAAAGAGGAAGATCCTTGACAAATGATTGACACCGTGGCTGCAATGATGGCTTAAACCCCACCACAGTTGTGAGAATGGTGCAGCCTCGTGCAGTGTTTCCTTTTGTTATACACGGAGTCGCTGTGAGTCGTAATTGATGCAGTGGCACTGCACTCTTCAGTTTATAACACAGCAATGGCAGTTTTGACATCTTCAAGGGACCCCAATTGTGTTCCTGTAAAATGTTGTTTTTGAGTTTAGGGAACAAAAAAGAAGCCCGAAGGAGCAAAGTCAGGGCTATAGGATGGATGGATGGATGGATAAGATTTTCCAACAAAATTCTTAAAGACCAGTCCCTACTAACACCAAATAATGTTCGGGTGCATTGTTAAAATGAAAAAAAAATTCCTCAGCTCAACTTGCCTTTTCCTCACCAATGCAGCTTTCATTTAAAAAAAAAAAAAAACTTCATAATAAGGTCCTATTATCAACTATAAAAATTATCTCTCTGGAACCCCTGAAAAACAATCACCATAGTCTTCTGAACTGACCTCTCAGCCTTTAGTTTAACTGATCTAGTGTATCTTGAAAGCCATTGTTATAATTAGACCTTATCCTTTGGGTCATATTGGTAAGTCCAAGACTCATCCCTAGTAATTATTCATTCCATTAAATCGTTATCTTAGCTCTTGCTTAAAAAGGCTAGCTGAGCAATCTAAGTCCACACAAAGAAGCACACCAGCTTGTGTGATCCAAAGATGACAATTACAAAATTCTAATAATGGCGAAGAGGAAAGCATCAGAGCTAAAATTATGAACACCCAATATGTGGGGGACTAGGGGGGGACTCTGGGAGCCCAAAACCCATCTAGTCTGACTGAGCTGCTGGCAGATCTGCTCTACCCACAGGCAAGAGTCTCAAACAGCCTTACTATCAGGCAGAGACCATTGCAATCTTGATTATGCCGGCTGGAACTTGACACTTGGCCAGTTGACCACCCCATAGACATGACCTGATTTGTTCTGGGTGCAAGTGTCTCTCACTTGTTCCACGACAAATTTCTCCCCTGGCTTCTTGAGTGTTGATGGGAGCCCTTTCCTTTTTATGCATTGTTTATGTTTGTTCTTTGTACTATTATGATTTTGTCCCTGCCACCTTAGTGCAGTTTTGTTTTTTATTGTTTTCTGTTGGGTCTCCCAACTGTGAAGCACAAAAGGAGTGGATGCATAATGATACTGATATAAGAAGGTGTAGGAGTAATGGGTGGGGGAGGGTAAGGAGATTTGGGGAGTAAATACTGAAATGGGAGGGGGTACTAGATCAAGTTGTGATTGCATAACTCATTTTAAAGGCCATGTAACCATGAGGGAGTGGTGCTCTAAAATTGATGTGTTGATTGTACAGTTCTCTCTGATATGATGAACTGTTGAATTTATAATATGTGAATGATGTGCCAATAAACTGTTAAAAAAAAAGGCTGGCTGAAAGAGCTGATCTGCAGACCAAGGCCATGATGTTCATTTAAAATTGAAAGCCTGTGGTCTGCCTCCACTAGCTCTGGACTTCTGCTACAGGTTCTTTTGTTTATCAAGATTAGCATCTTCTCTTCTTAGTACATCTTTATGTCTCCCCTTCCTTCTTTAAGGCACGTGCTTCACGGGTCACAGCAACATGTTTGAACACCTTTTGTTTTCAGTAAACCAATGCACACAAGAAATAGGACCATAGCAGCTATAATTTTTGGCTTACCCTCATATATCTGCTCACCTTTATGGGGTCAGGTAGATTTACTTACATAACTGAGAACAGTTCCTATTGCAGGTAAAATGATATTATATGGAAATTAGGTTTAAAAGTTAAAAGACATTGTATTAATGGTGATGAATTAATTTGGAAAAGCATGATGATTATGTAATTTGATGATTATGTAATTTGAAGATTAAACAGAAAGTAAATAGTTGCATTGACTAGGTAAAATATGAATTTTAAAGCCTGAATGTAACAGCATTTTTAAAGGAATGTTGGAATGCACTTTTAGGTATCTGATCTAGTTAGCACAAAAGTATTGTCAACTTTCAACAGATTATATAGCTTATAATTTGTTATCAAATCAAGTCTTTAGTTATGTATCTCTCTTTGATTTCTTGTGAAAACCGTTTGTCTCAACAGTGGTTGTAGTGAAGAAGTCTTGTATTACACCTCAGGTTGTGCCCCTTCTATCCCAGCAAGTCCCGTGTTAACGAAGGCTGGAGTCACCTGGTTATCCTTACAGTGGAGTAAACCCTCAGGAACACCATCCGATGAAGGAATTTCGTACATTTTAGAAATGGAGGAAGAAACTTCAGTGAGTGTGGATATGTATTTTCAATTTAAAACATTTAAAGTATCTTGCATTTTGGAAGTGATCCCAATTTAGTAAATATTGCCACAATAGTCCATTTTGTTATTGTTTGGGAGGAACTGGGAATGTGCAAAAACTTGTATTTTCTGGATGTGTTGGGAGGCGTTTGGACCTTTTGTGTGTTTTTATGTATACTTTTGCCTGGGAACAATATATTTTAAATATGTAGTTTCTAGGAAGAAATGGAGAGGAAAGAATGTATCACCAGACTAAGCAGCTCTGAAAGTAAGGAAACAAGTGTCTGCCTTCTTCAGTTATATTCATGCACTGCCTCCCAGTGTGCTACAGTGTTTTAGGAGCTTCACGTGCTATATAGTGCAACCTGCATCTAGTTCTGCACGAGTGGCTCATCTTCCGTGACCTGGAACTTGGCTGAGCAAGAGTTCTAGTAGCTTTATACGTTATTTCTTCATTTCAGAGTTACTTTGAAAGAATGTGGGATAAAATAGCATTGGTCCACTCCTAGGGATTTATATGATGTGTCTTCAAAAGGTTTGTAGAAAGGAGAATTAAAGGTAAAATAAAAATGCTTTTTGAAGCCCACTGAGATTAAATTATTCCATTTAAATGGAATTTGAGAATAAGCAAACCCATAGAGAAGAAACTATTAATGAGTTTGGCAAGAGGGGAGGGTCCTTACTGTTAATGAATAATATAGATTCTTTTAGGACATGGAAGGTAATAAATGACACGTTCTGAAGGGAGATCGTGTTTATAGTTGTACAACTCAAGAATAGACTAAAACCACTGAAATGCCCACTCAGTAAACATAGTGACATTGGGAATGAAATAAACACTTCCAATCCTGAGTGACACACCACCTGCGAGCCCAGCCAGCCATTTATCCACAGCCACAGCTGTGCTCAGAAAAGGGACTGTGCTCAGCAGTTGAACCTCTGTCTGGCTCTGCAAGCTCTCTGGAAAATTCCTGTTCGTTCCATGGATAAGCTTACTGATGATGAATTGACTAAATCTTCCCATTGCTACTTAACTCCCTCCACACAAAGAGTTTTCATTTTTGGTTTTTTGGCTTTTATAGATAGTGAGAATTGCTCTTTACCCTCCTATGTGTGTTCAGTAACATTTCCGGGTCCATCTGGGCCAGACAGAAACAAGGTAAATAGTACACGGTGTAATAGATGCAAAGGAGCCTAGACCTTTTCACATAGACATTGATCACCTTTTCTGCTGGTTGACATCTGCTCTAGACGGTTTCCTCTTCTTCCCAGGGATATGGTTTCAAACCCAAATATGATGGAGAAGATCTTGCTTACACAGTGAAAAATCTCAGACGTAGTACAAAATATAAATTTAAGGTAAGCTTTGAAAGCCTTTTAAAATTTTGTTCTTGTTTTTACTGTTATTTTAAAGGCAAAGTAGAACTGTTCCTTGGGGGGGGTTTCAAGCCTCTAACCTCCACAGAGCAGCTGGTGTATTCAAACAGCTGCATCCGAGGGTGCATCCCACTAAGCACCGTGAACGACACAGAAAGCAGATCAGTCAAACTTATCAGCCCAAGGCTGATTTCTCTAAGGCAAGGGACATCAAATATGCCTCCACTTGCCAACCTTCCCATAGCACACACCGCTTCTTAGCTGGATTTAATGACTCATTTCAGTGGCCACACAGAACTTATAGACCATATTCACGATGATAGGCTTTACTAGGGAAATTAATGGATTATATTCCATGATAAAAAATGCTTAAGACACAGTTCTTCTAGTCAGGATACCCTCGTCTGTCCCCACAGACAGTCTTGTCTCTGGCCCTCAGCCTGTTGGTTTGGCCTCTGCCCTAGTCAGGCAGTGCTGCAGGGCTCCTTTAACACTGCCGATAGTTTCCAGAAGGCAGTCCACTTCTCCGTAGGCTTCACTTCAGAGGGCTCAGCTCTCGCAAGGGAGTCAGGAAATGTAGCTGTGGAGGGACCCACTCCACAAGCAGCACTCTCTACTAGTGCTCTGGCTATGGGTTCTGTTGCTGCCACGCCTCTGCTACTTCTGGTGTCCCAACCTCTGTCCCTGGGCTGAGGAGGTTCAATACACAGGAATCTTGGGGTTCAAAGAACATGGCTCCACTCCTTACTCTTCTATCTTGATGATAGTGAGATTCGTACATTCCTGCTTCTTTCTGAAAGGACATATAGCAGAATTAACCAGTCCCCACATTTGAGTTCCAAGTTTCTGCCATCACAATTAACCGTGTGTTAACAATGATTCAACTAAAGCGTACAGTCATAGTAGCATCTTCTCTTACCTTGTCTTACCCAGACCCATCAGGAAAGAGTCATTTGGTAGAAGTTGAACAGACTAGCTAGGAGAGATATATCTCATAATTCATGGGGACTACAATACCTCATTCCTTTTATTTTAATACCTTTGGTTTTTCTGTGACCTTTGTTGTTTCAGTTTCTTAATACTATATGATAGTATATATAACTATATATAACAGTACTTCTCAAACTATATTTTAATAGCTTTGCTGAACTCTTACTTGCAGGTAATAAAGAAACATCTTTTTAAAATTACTTTATGAGAACACACCCAGAGTATGCATTTTTGGCAAGGATGCCACAGAAAGTTTCCTCTGTTTATCCAAGTACCTACTTTCACTTGATCCCATTACTGGTAGCCACATATTGGAGGTGCTATTTCCCATGTATCTTCAGTCACTCGGTAATATTTAAAATATTATTTAATAAGTATTTTTGTTAATCCCCTGTGAGCATCTTGTTCTTTCCTATTTTTAACCCATTGCTAGAATCAGTCTTTCCTATGATTGATGGTTGTCAAATGGTGATTTTTAATTATATATATGTATTGCTTGATAATCTAAGGAGAAGCTTTCCTTTCTCCTCTTAATCAGTATTGACTCCTATTCCTGTTTATTCAGTAGGTTATGTAACATTACTGATTTTGAAGCTCAGTTGTTGTAGGTATAGGATCCCCTTCAACCTGGCTTCCAAACCTGACTCTTCTTTTGTATCTCCCCATCATTCTCTGAGTGCTTCGTTGCTTTCTAACATAAGATAATCCAGTCTCACATACTTTCCCTGCTTCAATTTTGGACCATTTCTCAAAGCATCCTGGATTCTTTGAGTGGACATCGGTATCTTGAAATCAAGATCTGGGCATAACCTGTATTTATTCTTTTAAGCCTGTGAAGAAATGACTTGGGGCCACATCTGAGCTCCTCTCACTTCACAAAGAAGAAGAATCCAGCTCCTTATCTACCCATGGGTGACTGCTGTGAGACAATAGGTCAGACATGCCTCCATCCTCCAATTTCCTTTACCCAATTTGACACTGTCTTAGGCCGCGTTGACTAAAGAAACAAATCCAGTGATACTCATATGTTTTAAGGGAGAGCTTTATATCAAGAAGTAATTAGTTATCACGCAAGCATCCCAGCCCAGATCAAGTCCGTACGTCTTAAAGATGGATACTGGTCCATCAATCCCCCTTCAGACCCTGCAGTGGTGCAAAGTGAAGGGAGATTACAGCTTGGTGGGTACAGCATTGTGCGCATCAAACGGCAGTGGCCACATCACAGAGTGTTGCCGGTGTTAGTGTCTCGTCAACAGGAAGGTGAAGGCAGAGAAAGGGAAACAGGGAGGGCCCCAGGACCCTCGTGAGAAGTCCACGCCCCACACGGAGTCACCATCAGGGTGACCTGATTGACACGCTAGGCTTCACCGCTACATTTATCTATCAAGTTGCCATGAAATTGTGTAACTACCAGACACCAACCATCCTTCACCTGACACTGTTCTGCTAGGCTTGATGATCCATTGCAGCAGCCACCCAGAACTCGCAATACTCCTGGTTATGTAGCTTATTAGGGAAGTTAGCAAGTTACCTCAAATCAGAATTAGAAAACATTGAGAATACAACCCGCTTGTTCACATCAGCACCTCTTCCGAGTCATGTCCAGTAGGCGTGTCTCTTGCTGATCCTCTGTTCTCTCTTGTTCTCGACCTCTCAGGTACACCGCCCCTTGACCTCTTCCCTTCTCAGGCAAGTGTTAAAAACCCTTTAGCACTATTATATGCCCAAAGAGCGCCTTATTCTACAATAGTGCCCCTACACTAAGTTTCATTTGTTTCATGGGTGCAAAAGTCCACAGCTGTGCCTCCTAGCTCTGCTTCACATTTTGGGTGCTGCTCTTCTGCTCTGTCTTATGGTCTCAGTGCTGCAGGCTCTATGCTGCTGATGGCTCTACCGCTTCACACCAGGGTCTTGGACATGCTACAATGGTGACTTTTTTTTCCTTAACAGCCCCACAATTCTTTGTTCCTGTTTCTGAGAGGACTCACTTTTATATTTATACTCAGCAAAATGGCAAAACGAATCAGTCTCTGAGTTAGAGTCCTCTGCACCATGTTTGCCTGCTTCAGACACTGTGTAGGAATTGCAGAGACTGTAGATTATTATACCAAGCAATTTCACTTCTCCATAGCCTGTACTTACTACTCCCTGGAACCTGTATGTATGTTTTGTTTAAATATAGCTATATGTATCTAAACAAACACATTTCCATTTACATGTGTATTTCCATATACGGTATGTATATTTTAAAACTATTGAGTAGCAACCCAAAGCCTCCAATTCTAATAACTCAGTGCCACTAATTGATTCTTGTTTTCTCCCTTCTCTTTATTTCTAACTCCCTTTGTCATCTGTGAAAAGCTTTGTCCCAGTTGTTTTCTATTTATTTGCTCATTGCCTCAAGCCTCTTCTTTACCCCTCCCTCAGACCCTTTGTTAAAGCCATCTCGGGGAACTTGAGTTCCTATGGGCTACTGTTACTGTCTCACCCATGACTCCAGCTCAGAAGTGCCTTGTTTGCTCTCCTGATTGGCCTTTTGAAGAGTTCCATGAAGACAGTAGGGGAGCTCAGCACATCATTGTTGCTTCTTGAAGCCTTATGAAGTTTTGACAGTTCTTCTGTGGGGACTTGAAATTATTACTAGGGACCTAATAATGATTTTGACTATTGGACTTGGTCAGAAATAGACAGTGTTCATTCTGAGCAGACCGTCATTTCTTGACGTGTATTAATTAATATGCCAGTTACTGTAAGCCAGCAGACATACTTGTACAGAAGTTTCCCTAAATTCACAACATTTCTAAATTAGAAATATTTATAAATTTAGAAACCTTTTCTTAAATATAGAAATAAAAGCAGTCAGTCTAGTTTTCTGCCTAAAATGTTAGATTATACTTTGACTTCAAGAATGGCAGGCAGAGGAAGGAGAGGGTAAGTCAAAAAGTATTGCTATTTGGGTTCCAGTTCATACTTGGATATGTTTATTCCAAACAGAGTATGTTTAAACATGTATCTGTGATCAGTGAATGGCTGCAGAAACATTCTCTTAGAAATACACTTACTTAAAAAGAAACTTCTTATGCAATGGGGGGGTGGGATTTTGAGGTCAGATTTTTAACAATCTAATTGTTTTTAATAATTTAATAATGCCAAGTTTAACGAAATTTCCAAATCGCTGAAGTCTTGCAAAAAGTTTACAGGAATGCTGATCATATAAAATAACAGTTTTTATTAGTTGGATCAGTGTTTTGAGGAAAGTAAGGAAGATGTCAAAGATGAACAAAAGGAGGGAAGACCGTCAACTTCAATGGATTAAAAAGAGCCTGGCTGAAGTCCAGAAACTGATGAGATCATACCACAGAATTATCCTTGATGGAATAGCTGCTAAAGTTGGGATTTCACATGATTACAGCATGTTCCGATTTACGTGAACATCTTGGCCTTAGCATTGCTTTCGACTCATGGATGATACCAAAGCATTACATGAATATAAGCTAGCCCAACAAGTTTATCTTTCCTTCAGCCTTTTAAGCCTTTTGATCTTGCTTCAGATCAAAGGCAATGAGTACAGTTTTATGAAGTGAATCATAACTGGGAGCCAGTCTTGGATTTGCCAATATGATTCAGAGAGTAGGGACAATCACAAGAGTGGCTTGATTATGGTTGAAAGATATGGATCTGCTTCCAGGCTTACATGGTTGTTGCCAGGAACTCTCACTACCTCACTCCATGGACTTCTCCACAGAGAAATTGCACATTGCCACTTCTGTATTCTTTTGGCTAGAGGCAAGCCCTTAAGTATAACTCATACTCAAGGGAAAAGGGAAGGAAGCTTCTCCTTCTGCAGAAGAAAGGAAATAAAAAGAATTTGTGGTGTGGATGTCTCTAAACTCCCAAGGAGTAGTAAAAGAATAAAGGGCATGTCAAGCCTGTAAAGAGTCTTCATATTATACCTGAACCTTATGATGACTCTCTTGTTAAATATGAAGATGTTATGCTTAGATTTTTATTTTCAGGACTTGATAGTACACCTGAATATTCATCACATATGCAAAGATCCCCTACTGAAGCAAGCGATTCTCAAACAAGTCTTTATGATCTGAAAATGTATCATTTGATTGAACCTGTTATCTCTTACCACTTTGTTCATTATTCCATATATGAAGTGTATCAAACATTAATTATTTTATGTCTTTGTGTTGTCATTGTAGGTTATTGCTTATAATTCAGAAGGTAAAAGTAATCCGAGTGAAGTAGTAGAATTTACTACATGTCCTGATAAGCCGGGAATCCCTATAAAGCCTTCAGTTAAAGGAAAGATACATTCACACAGTTTTAAAATAACTTGGGGTAAGATAATATGCATATTTTTAGATCACTGATTTTATATTTAACAAAAATAATTTTAATAAGATAGAGTAAGTTATCTCAAGCAAGTCCAGGAAAATATGCAGGTCATTCATTATTTAAAAATCTTTTGTGGAAAATTCTGTACTCACATATACTGAGTTCAGAGTTGATAGAAACTTGGGGCCCACTGCTGGTTTACAAGCTCGAACAGCACATGAGAAAGGAAGATTACCAAATTTACAGCCAGAGTCACTTGGGTTACCCTGGCTTACTCATGAGCAATAAGCATCACACATTCATTTAAAACCGCCATTAATCGAGTACCCATTTCTATACTGGAAAAATTAAGATCAAATAAATTTAGTCTCTGCCTGAAGAATTTAAACCAATACAATTCAGACCAATATGTCATTGCTATTTATAAATTATTTATAATTTTGGAACAACCCTAAGTCTCAAGTAAGACTTTTGTTTTAGAAAGTATTGCTATCAATACAGTGCAGCCATTAAAATTGTTTTAGAAAGCTAGATTTATAAAAATGGGAAAATTAAATTTAAGTGAAAGGTTACTTAATACCATAGAGTCATATGGTGCTAGTATTAATAGTGAAACATTGCAAGTGATTCTTCTTTGTAAACAGTGCTAGGTTTTATATTCTGTTTATTAGGATTTACTGATATTTTTAAATTGTGTATACTTTACCTACCGTGGCGCTTTGCTTCTTTGGATAGACCCACCCAAAGACAGTGGAGGCGCGGCCATCAGTAAATATGTAGTGGAAATGGCAGAAGGTCCGACTGGTAAGAAGTACTAATTTAAAAGATTTTCCCATGATAGATTTATACCTGTCAGCTTTCCCTACTAAAAATGACTGGACAGCTTATGTGATCTCCTTTCAACTCTTGCTCTTAATGTGCTACCATACATTTTGGGCTTTACTTGATTTTCATTTTGGGTTTTCCTGTTTTTTTTCTCCTTTGTTTGTAGCAGTTGAGATTGTATTTGTTAAGACCCACTTTGAATTGTGATCTCCAGAAGTATATTATATGAAATATAAGATTAATATACTTCTATGTTTTTACCTTTACATTTTTTTATTTGCTTACATTGCTCAATTCTAGTATACTGAGACAAAAATCATTCAAAATAAATGCTGTGGAGTTTGAGTTATTAAATCAAGTTTAATTTAATTCCATTAAATTTAACCCAGAGACAAATTTTCTTCTTAAAATGTAACACCAGTTATACTACTTTTAAAAAATAGATTCTATGCCTAGTGAACGTTTTCTTGACTCAGATTCAGCGACCTATTTCCTGCACATGTCTCGCCTCCCAAAACAAATCTATTAATTAAAACTAAACTTCCTATGGTATTTATTCTTCCTGCTCTTTGTGTACGACAATGCTAATACTGGACCATAAACTCATTTAAAATGCTTAGTTAAAAGCCAAAGCCAGTGTACAGTTACCGAGATATTTTACTTCAACAAAGCCGTGCAAATTTGCCTAGGAAGCTGCACCCACCAATTAGATAATTTCCAGGAAACGTGAAATAAGCTTAGATTGTATCGGCCAAGTTACATAAACAGTGAAGCTAGGATACCTGCTGTTTCCATAATCCCCAAGCATTAAACATCACCTGGTGGCTGATTGCACTTGATTCTTCCTTCACCCTGCAGGAAACAAGTGGGACATGATCTACAGTGGCACTACTAGGGAACATCTTTGTGATCGACTCAGTCCAGGCTCTCTCTACCGTTTTCGAGTTTACTGCATCAGTGATGGAGGACAGAGCGCGGTAATGCTTCCATGTAGATCCTTTATTGTTCGTTTGGTTTTTTTAATGATAGGGTACTGTCAGATGCCTCCTCACTCCAAATATTGAATTGTGTCCACAACTGTATTCAAGAAACTTCTCTACCCTGTGTGGTTGGTTTTATAGTGACCAGGATATTGTAAAATAGCATTAACTAAAGGTAAGGAGCGAATAGCTCTTGCCTAGTTAATATCTAGCTTTAGAAAACGATAGAGGGGTTTTTTTTTTAAGACAAATCTAAGGATGATGCTCAATAAAGCATAGCCAGTGGAAATAGAAACAAGATCGTTATAGACTGATTTCTTGGTTAATAAATTACGTGTCAGGACAAGCCATAAAATGTCATTTACTGTTTAAGCCCAAATTTAATATTTAGTGCAGAAAGTTGGCTGTAACTGTTTGTTGTTGCTGTGAAGAGCTGTTGCACCCATTTTGACTCATAAAGCCTACATGGGACAAAGTAGCAATGCCCCCGGGGTTTCCTAGACTGTCATCACGGGAGTGGACTGTTGCCTGTGGAGCTGCCAAAATAAAACCAAGCTCACTGCCATGGAGTCAGGGCTGGCTCACAGTGACTCCCTGCGGGTTTCCAACTTGGTAACTGTTTCTGGGAGCAGAAAGCCCGTCTTCCTCCCAAGAAGCTGCTGGTGGTTTCAAACTGCTGACCATGCAGATCACAAGCACTACACTGCCAGGGCTCTTTACAACTGCCAACCTTTGAGTTAGCATCTGAGCGGTCAACCATTTTGCCACCAGTGCTCCTAATTTATTGTTAGGGTACCAATAGCTAACAGCCTTTTAAATTGTGCCATTGATTATCTATGAAGCATTCACCAAGTTCGGCAACTTAAATTTTTTTTAAACAGAAGTGGTGGCTTTTATTAATGAATTTAACCAAGAATCGTTTCTTGGATCATTTATATTTTTAATTACTTTTCAAATGGAATTTAATGCCACGGAAGTATTCTTTATAAAAACTAAATAATATTACCATTTTTTAAAAATTAAAAAAAATTTTTAAAACTAAATTAAAAGATTTTTGTTTAAAATGTGAGTATTGTGAATTGAACTTGAATCCTACTTAATAATAGGCCCGTGTGCCAATTGCTTTATTAGTCCCAATAAGAAAATCTCCCAGGGAGGTTCCTGCAGCGGTTGCGGTAGTAGGTTGTGGAGTGGTTCTGCGCGCTTCGGGCTCGGTCCTCTCCCAGCGGCTCTTCGTGCTGGCCCTCCGCGTTCCTGGCCACCATGACCACCACCACCACTTTCAAGGGCGTCGACCCCAACAGCAGAAGCAGCTCTCGGGTTTTGCGGCCTCCGGGTGGTGGCTCCAATTTCTCATTAGGCTTTGACGAACCAGCAGAACAACCTGTGCGGAGGAACAAAATGGCCTCCAACATCTTTGGGACGTCTGAAGACAGCTCCCCTTCCTGGGCCAAGTGCACAGGT